ACTTCCATATTATATATAACTTTTATAAAAATCAGTTATATAACTTTTAGCCTTTTTTTTTTTTTTTTAAATGCGGAAGTTAGAGACTGCCGGATACCTTATTTTTACCGCAGAGATGTTCAGCAATCTTTGTACCTTCCCTCCCCCCTCCTTGTCTTTCCCCTCATCCTCACCTTGTATCGTTTTTCCTCCTCCCTCTTCCTTCGTTTTCCTGGCTGCGTGGTTTATCCGTTATCCTAATGAATTCCGAGAAATCATGCTCGCCTTTCTGGAAAAACACAACCAAAAAGCAGCAGGCACCACTTTTGCACATCTAATAACGGTCAGAAGACAGTTTTCAGCCTCAGTTTTTCACCTTTTTGGACTTGAACTTCTTTTTTTTGCAGGGTGATTTGCAGAATGGGAGAGGGAAACGTACGGATTCAGATGATCAGCTCTATGGGGAGGAAAGTTCACGTTATTTGACGCCTGATCGTAACACTACGGGTTCGGATACTCGTTATGTCAGGGAACCAGAATGGAACGAGCTGTACTACAACCCCTATCGTTTTATGAACGGAGCGTATGAACGTGAACACGAAACAGCTGCTCATCACACCAAAACAGCGCCAAAAAATTACGGAAAAATTATCATGATTCTTGGCGCTATTGTTATTTTATCAACTGTCATCTTCTTCCTCATCCAGAACTACAATGCGATGCACGAGGGCGAAAGCAACCGAGAGGAATTGTGAATTTTTCTTTTTCCTGCGTTTCACATTAAATAAGATTGTTTGTTGATGATGAGTAAGTAGCCTCGATTTTTGCTTATCATCATTTATCAGCACTGTTTTTTTTTGCTTGTTTTTTTGAAATAAAGTGAGGATTTATCCTTTTTTCCTTGTTTTTTTTTTTTTAAAAAAAGTAAAGATTTATCCATTTTTTTTGCTTGTAAGGAATTAAGGATTGTTTTTTTTTGTCTTAATTTTGTTTACTTTTCTCTTAAGGGTTCTCTTACTTTTGTTAAAAAATGATTTTGCTTGCCGTTTATCGTCACATTTGGTCCAACCAGGCTAAGAACCACAGCGAAGCAAAGTATCATCGCATGCATTTTGATTAATTGGCCTTTTATTTTCCGATAAATTTTATGATTT